GTCAAAGCAAACAAATGAAATCGCACATAATGCGAAGGGTGTTCGTATGGCTTCTGTGTATCGCTCGCTTCAGCTATTTAGCATGTGTGCTATGGATATGGTATACGTTTCAAAGAGCGTATATTTATATTGATTCTACGCTCAAAATGTGTAAAATATCATACGATATCCTAACGCCGAACGTGTGCAAAACGAGATCAACAAACGTCTCATGTGCTCATTCATCGCTTTTTTCCCTCTGTATTTGGCCCTAATTTAAATAAAATGATGGCGTTCGAGTTGTATGCGTCTCTTTCATTCGTTCGCCATTCGAGCGAGATACAGGACGAAAAAAATCTCTCTCTCGCTTTTTTCTTCTCTGTTGTGACTTTTTCGGTGCTGTAAAAAGCCTATCTATTTGTCCATGTACATTGTTCACTCCCTTCTGAATAAAACACGCGCTCTTATGTACTCCATTGTACATAAGTGCATTGTTCGGTTCAACGAAGAGGGTGATGAAATTGAGTCGTCGCTCTCTCGCCCTGTGTGTGTGTTGTTGTTGTTGTAAGTTTGGTGCGAGATGCAGCATTGATAATGGCATCGACAATCGCACCCTTGGAAACCTTAATGAAAATTCACAGACCAAAAAAAAAACAAACTTGAAACGAATCCGGTCGTGGCTTGATTGAAATCCATTCGGTCGATCGGACGTAGTCGTCGCAATTGATGCCTATCAGTTCGTTGCCATTCCAAAATGGCGTGGACTATGAGATTACAATTAAATTGCCAGTGGCTGTGGCAAATGGGACCCTTCCGTAAATTGTTTCAAACTAAAACACATATCACATATTTACATTCCATTTATGATTAAACGCTCGGATTAGGACCATTGTGTAATGTGTAATGAACGGTAGGGCACACGCGTTTTTTACTCTCACTCACACCGTCGCCCATTCGCTGCTTACATTACCACACCACACCGACACACTCGATTTACACGAATCACTCGGGATCTCATTTAAAATGGCATCAGATCCAGGAATCCATAATTAAATGGAACGTTTATAATGAGCACATCAAATATGAAACTTGCTCAAATCGAGCCCAAACACCGGATTTTGTAACATACACGCATAAATTATGAAATTGAGCACCCGAAATGCGCAAAACGGACACATCGGTCTCGCTTCAATTTTGTTATGATTTTTTTTTTTTCCATTCCGACCTATGACTTTGATTGAGTTGGATTCAACACGATGGAAATTTGAATGCTCTACGCTTTAAATATGGATAAACTGGAATGGAAATGGCAGATTTTATGTCGATTATACATTGCTACATAAATTATCAGATCCTCAATTTTTCAATGTTATGCTCAAATAAATATGTGCGTACTTGATGAATTTTATCAACAGATTCAAAGGTTACTACATCAGGATTGTCAGCATCATTTAAATGTTGAATAGTTAATCAACAATTAGAAGAAAATATTACTGTCGAATATTTGAAAATGGACTGAACGTTTATTTCTATTTAAAAGTAGAATTTCAGAGGACGAACTGACAAAAATCATGTTTTTTCACGCAAAAATTGCCAATGTAACAAACAATCATGGAAAAATCTACAAATTTTTTTCAAACTTAAAACAAATTGATGAAAACTGTTGACAAATTGGAATTTACTCATATTTTGACATTTTTCCGAAGTTTTTTATCCAAAAAGTATAATTTACTTTAATTCCAGTGAAATCACGCAATCAAACTAAGAAATCTCATTATTTTCAGTGGAAATTTTGGAAATTTATGGCGAAATTACTTTGTTTCCTTTCATTTTGATTGGTTTCTTCGAACGAAAACAGAAATCGATTCAAATGAGAGAGCGTCTCAATTTGAAAGAAAGAAAAAGTAAGAAAAAAAGAAACAAGAGGCAGAAAAATCATGAAAAAAGATTAGAAAAATTAAAGAATGTGCGAAGCAATCACAAAATTTTTAATTGAACAGGTAAAAAGTAGTTTCAATTTTAAAAAAACAGTTGAACCCTCCCAAATGTTCGATGTTAGTGCTCTAAAACACATTTCAGTTCAAAAAAATCAATTCATTCCTTTTGAATCCGTTCGCTCCTCAGAAAATCCATCGGTTTTTTCTAAGTTTCAAACCGGTAAGCAATCGCTTGGCCTATTTTCGAGTTACCTTCGAAAAAATAAAACCTCGATGAAAATGATTGAATTGTTGTCGGCGGTGCGCATTACACAAGCGTATCTCAAGTGTTTTTTCAGCTAATTTTTGACAGCTCCGAAACGGAAGACAATGAAACGGAATAAGAAAAAAAGAGGATCCATCACAAAGCGAAATATTAAAACGACGATGTTCTTATTCACAAACATCAAAATTCCTTTTGAATGAAGAGAAAAAAAATGATAGCCGTTCAAACAATGAATCTAGTTCTGTTTTCTGTTTTTTTTCTCCTCTGTATTGTTGATCCCTTTTTTCGAGTGTATTTCAGTTTTTGACCTAATATTATATAATGAGCCATTGAGACATGAGCGATCCATTCACGGGGCCCGACACACAAAAAACACACAAACCGTTCCCAAACACACAAAACTATGAACGAAGTGAAACAAATCCGAATCAATCGTACACATCAAGATTAGCTGCCGGTCCATTGTTTCCATCGATGGCTAAACAAAACAATCGTAGAAATTGCGTTCAAAATTGAATGGAAGAAAAAAATGCTGTAAACGATTTGTCGGGTCTTTTGTCGAATGCATTTTTATCGCCAAATAAAATCAAAGAATCTCTCTTTTCGAATTGCAATCGCTATTGAATACAGTTACCTTGAGCAATTGGAATGTGGGTCGATTTAAAATACAGAAACACACACACATCGAAAAGAAAACATTGGCAGAAATTAGTTCAAATGTTGAGCAATTGTTTTGCTTTTCTTTGCCTTTCTTTTCGTGGATTTGTTTACCTTTGCTCATCACTCGAGGGCTAACACTTTTTAAACAGATGCCAGCAACGCTGCAGCTACTGTGCATCTGTCTGGCATTATTTTTTAACTACCCCACGCATAATTAACAACACAATCTTTCGACGAGTTTGTTTATTGTTTCCACTTTCTGCACCTTTGCCGGCATTTTTCTCGGATATTTATTTTATCAATTCAAGCTCTCGACTCAATTCAGAAAATGTTAAGTTTTTTTCAGGGGTTTGTTGAAGCCCCTAGGAGAAAAACTGTTACAAAAATTATTTCTTTTATATTAAATCATTGTATGGGTCGAAAAATCAGTGCTAAGGTTGCATTTCAAACATAATGTGAAGTATAGACGATTTTCGATCCGAAACTGCATTGTATTTTATCGTATGTTTCGATAGAAATGCTATCGGATCATTCAACAGTGTTTAATCAACACGAATGTTGATCCAGCCTTGAAGTAACGAGGTTATTGGTCGTGATTATAGTGAGAATTATGCGTGAATTCATTCACTAATAATATTAATTTACCTCGTTCGAATGTTTGAACTGCGGTCAAGTTCGGTTGGTACATTCAGTTTACGAACAAAATATTTGGTGGATTCAAATTGCAATTCGCAAGTAACATTAAACGCTCAGAGTGTTAATGATTTTAAATCAATTTATTGAACATTCCGATAATAATATCGACAATTTGGAATTGTATTTGAAACAGTTTTAGTATCATTGCAAATGAATTGAATAATGTTGAATACAATTTAATCACTGTGAAACAGTTATGATTTTCAACCTATTTAACCAATGCGTTATGTGAACTATATTATCTATGCATCATGTACTATTTATATTGAAACAACGCACCGTAGTTGTGTTGTGCAAGGAAGTAATGTTGCGATTCTTCTATGGATAAATCAACAAACCAATTTTAGTCCTATCATAGGACTCCTATGCTAAATATCTTGTTCATTGTTTAGATCAAAAACTCTTTTCATTTTCTCTTCTGACGCATTGTAAGGGAGTTTGTTCGTAAAATGTATTTATACCAATACTTCCATACTTTTAAAGCTCATTTTGTAAAGTTGTTAGTGTATTTTTTCAATTGTATGATGATGAATACACTGCACAAAAAATCCTTTGTGCATAGAATTTTAATTCGTGCAAAAATCGCACGCTTTAAATACAGCAATGAACGGAGTCAATAAAAAAGGCGTGTTTACTTTCGCGCGTTGAATGTCAGAGCAACACGTTCGATAGCCGCACGAAGTAATTTCGAGCCAATTTGTGTTCACTAATATTGTTCTATTGAGTGAAACGAGACTACACAGATTTTTTTCAAATTATTTTCAATGAAAGTAAATTAAAACTCATTTTCCCACGATTTATAAAACAAATGATTTATATTTAGGCATTTTTTGAGTTTTCATTACACAGAGACGCGATATCTTGAATCATTTCAACACAATTTTGGGACATCACTAAAATTTGATTTGATTTCATTCAAAAGAAATTCAATTCATTCTCATTGGTTCGGAGACAAAGCGAAGCGATTTTTTTTTTTCATGTAAATGCTTAATTTTGCAAAATTCAACATCACAACGCTATCGTTCAAAGTTTGAAGAAGTAAGTCTTTTTTATTATTCAGTACAAAACAACAGAAGAACTTTCAAAGCGAACTTTGAAGTCTTATCTCACCAAACGTACTGCCAATAGAACTATAAGCATATTCCAAACTTCTGTTCGACTTAAAATTGTTTAAATTGCATTCAAAGCAAAAAACGTGGCTATTTTTTTGCTTCATACTCTCTACGCACCAGCTTCAAACGTTTCCCAGAAGTTCGATGATTCTTTGTGTTGTATTTGAACGATTTTGTATCTTGAGCACTGATAAGCAGTTTTTATGAACATTTCGCATTACAAAAATAGAAAAAAAAATTTAATGACATCAGATTAACACGTAATTCTACCGCATCAAACGATTTATCTTCTTTGTTAATCGTTTGTGTTCATTTCTATCAGTTCAACGTGGTTCGCTCAGTAAACTATATGGCACTGCAGTAATAAAAGTAGTTACCGATTTCTTGGTGTCAATTTCACAGTAATAAAGTCGGTGCAGTCATTAATGATTAAGTCATCTTCGATTTTATACGAGAGTCTTCATGTAGAAAATTCAATTTTACGCGAATTTATTTCAGTTTGACCATCAGCACAAAATGATACCAAATTCAATTTCACAGTGGCGTAAAAAGGCCTTAAATCCGTTCATTTTCGAGAAAGTGAAAGTGTCGAGTGATAAGAAGTCCCTCCAAACTGAATCGGAAAGTTTTCTTTTAGTGAATACAAAACCATCTTCAAACGACCACTTGCCATTTCCAAAGGATTTTACTTTTGAGTCATGTCTACTACCTACGCGATTCAAAGAATTTGCAGATAAAATTCGAAATTTCAAAGTGAAGAAAGATGATGTTTGGATTTTGTCATATCCAGATTCGGGTACAACCTGGGTGCAGAATATTGTTTGGCAATTAAAACATGGAATAGATCAGACAAAGGAACCGATTTCATCATCTGATGCTCTTTATTTGGACGGAGAGTTTTTTGTCGATAGTCCAAATGAAGTGGCTAGGAAAAATTTGAGTTCGAAATTTGAAAATTCATTGGAAAGAGTGGATAATGAACCATCGCCGCGAATCATAATATCACACCTTCCACCGAATTTACTGCCAGTTGATCTGTGGACCATTCGACCAAAAATCATTTACATTGCACGCAATCCAAAAGATGTGGCTGTTTCCATGTTCCATATGCTACGCGATGACTTTAAACACTTTTCGGGGACAATTGAGGAATATTTGAATCTGTTCCTTGAAGAGAGAAACTGGTACGCTCCATTTTTTGCGCATTGCACTAGTTTTTGGCAACTTCGTAACGAGAACAACTTTCTGTTTTTGAGCTATGAAGATGTGATGGCAGATCGATTCAAGGGAGTTAAACGAGTTTCCGAGTTTTTACATTGCTCCAACGTTAAGCATGAGCTCAAGCTACTCAACGATTATCTACCCTTTGAAAATACGCAGATTGGCTGCAAAGGAGCCGATCAAGATTCGAACAATCGGTTAGTATAATATCCATAGATGAAGTTTACAAAATTAACGTAATTTTCCAAGAAGTTCTTTGGTTGGTTTCATGAGCGCAGAAACTGTGTTCGTAGAATATCGTACTACCAAACAATTAAGATTTAAAAATTTTTGGGCCTTAATTACTAATTAGTAACTGAGAAGCGGACAGTTGTCACTCCTTTCTTGTCTCCTTTATAGAAGTGCTTATCATTGTTCCATTTTGACACATTTTCGATTTCAGATCGTACCGTGAACGAAAACTTAGTGGATTTAAGGATGAAATGAGTGAGGAGTTCATCAAGAAATTTGATGAATGGACAGCTTCCAAACTGAAGGACTCTGATTTCAAATTCAATGTTTGAATAATAACGGACTTTTTATATATTTGAGAGTTCTGATAGACATCATTGTGTAAAAACAGAAATTTGAGCAGAAATTTGTTTTAAATCGATATAAAAATTACAATCCAAAAATATAATGAAAAATTCAAAGTCTTATCTTCTTTAGATTTCAATAAGACTGAAGGGGTTTCGAATAATTGGTATCAATTCAGATGTAAAATGGAACACTATTAGAATAAATCGTGAAATTGTCCCGTAAAAAGTGTTTTAATTTGACAGATTCCTTATAACCAATCCAAATTTCAAGCGCAAATTCACACACTTTTAATAATTTGTTTTTTTTTGTTGAAAAACCTAACTTCAAATTTCATACATCCATAACAGAGAGATGAATAGAGAGATGTATCGAGAGATTTTTACATCGTTTTGGAAAAGGTTCTCCTGTTGCTTGGTCTATTCCAATACGTTAAAAATGGTGGAAAAATGAATAGATGTTCTCTCTCATCGAAAATCAAATGAAATCGACGAGGTTTTTCTGCATTTACAATTCACATCGAATTATTCATAGAAACTGTTCATCAAACAAAGCTCTTGTCAAGCTCCTTGACTCCCTATTTTACTCATTCATGTAGAATTTTTCCGAAATATTGCGCAATTTTCGTCAAGTTTGTGTATATTTTTGAATAATTTACAAGAATTGGAATAAATGTACGATTTCAAAATAGGCTCCCATGGCCGAAAGGCTTATATTTCCGTATTTCTCTCAGTTGAACTATGTTGTCCCATTTTCTTCAATCGAATCGTTTTGCCATTACCAGAAAAGGTTCTTTAATTCTCCCGAGAAATGAATGAAATCGAGAGTTTTGTGACCTTCATTCAGAAAAGAACCTCCCGACAACAGATATATTTGCAACGAACATCATTTGGCGAGTGCGACGTATGGAAGAGCAGAAAAAATATCCGTTTGCCGTTATAAAACGGAATGAAGAGGAGAGCTATCAATTACCGTGTTCATTGTCGGTTGTTCGTTCATTGTATTTGTGTGCCTGTGATGTTATCGTAAACAATTGATGTTTTTGGGCTGGCAAAAACTAAAGTCGGAAATTCGATATGGTTGTGAGATAAAAAGCGACCAAAAAAGTAAACGATTTCTCATTTTACTCGATCTCTATCACCGATTTGGATGAAGGAGCATTCATTTTTGCGGGACGATTTCATTCAACGAGATGTGGCTTGAACATTTTTGTTGCCAATGTAATCAACGATCTCGAAGGTTTACAACGTTACAGAAGTCTTCTATTCATTTCCGAATTTGGCACGATCTTTATCGAAAAAATTCTCAAATTGCTTCGATTGTGTGGGCTAAAATAGAAATGAATGGTTATGAAATATTGAAAAATAGGAGCGAAATTGTTTGTCATAAAAATCACCCAGGAAAACGACGCTTCACGGAAATAGACGTCAATGGATTCGTAGCACAATAAAAAAGGAGTTTATTTAAATTGAATGGAAATCACCTTAATTCGTCGGAAAGCGTGCATATTTTTAGAAAAATGAAAACAAAGACGATTCGAAAGCCAATGAAAAGCGGAACGAAACGCTGTGAAAAGGAGTGAATAAGGATTTTAATGCGAAACAAAATGTATGGTCTAATTAAAATTGCACCATTTTATTTTCGAAACGCAATTTTTTTAATGGAAAATATTTTTTCCTTCTTGTGTATCGTAAACAAAGACGACAAACAAATGTTGAGAGGGTGAGTTTATCAGTTGGTTTGAATCGGGTTGTTGAAAATGAGTTTTCTTGGTGGAAGTCGCGCGCGTTGTTTGAGTGAGCACGTGCACGTCATTCATTGTGTGGGGTGACTAACGGAGTGAGAGCCGTGATTGAAACGCCTTCCCACTTGCTAAGAGCCTTTTTATTAGATGGCACAAAATAATGCGTCAACCATTTTTCACTATGAGTGAATGTTATGCCGGTCCCTCGGCAAGAGAGAGAAATGAAGCGAGAGCGAGAACGAAACGCTGAAATTAATAAAATCGACAACATTTCTTTGATGATTTTAATGGCCGAAAGTTGAAAAGGGGGCGATATAATTTATATTTTCAAAATGGGAAATGAGTCGCAGCAACAGAGAGCGAGAGAATGCGAATGACTCGTATGTTTTCACTTAACGGAAGAGTGGAGAATTTGTCACTGGCTGCGGAATCAGCCAATATCCTGTCATTTAAACGCAATCGTCGTCCTTTGAAGTTGATGCGAAAAAGGGAGGAAATAAAAATGGATTCGCAAATCAATTTCAGTCGAAGCTCATGCAATTCAGTTGAATCAATTTCAGTCGGTGCGGCTTTTTCTCATTCCACTGTGGGAAGAACGATATTCGCAATATCTGAACCTATTGACAAAGAGTGCGAACAAAAGGAACATTATTTCGATTCGCGACTCATTATTTCGTTTCTGAAAAGCGAAATCTCTTGTGCGTGCACGTATTCACGGAATTGATCCATTGCTGGTGTGTAGTATTTAAAAGCCGATATTATGAAACAGTTCGCATCGTTGAAGTTGACATTATGCAAGTGATGTGGCAATGGTGGTTGTTGCTGCTGCTGCTGCTGCTGCTGCTGCCGTTTTTCTTTGTGTCTACGTCTGTCGGCTTCTCCGAAATACATAGACCAAGTGAGACCCCTCGTGATTGAAAACCTTTATGTAACCGATGCCAGGCAGTGAATACCTTTTTACATGCTTCACGACGACCGTGTCTACTTATGGCCCCCGTTTGTTTTCCCGCAGCCATAATGATGACTTCTAAACGTGAGCCCGCAATTTCCGATTACACCATATGACGGTATAATTTCGTACAAATCCCCCAATCGCATGCCAACAAAACGTGTATTCATTAATAATCAGTCTCTAAAGTACGCACAGCACACACCCATCTCGAAAACTGATAGCAACCGATTCATTACACAATATCACTCTAAATACCCAAAGCACAACATCCCAAACACGCTCGGGATGAGATTTTATATTCATTTACAACCGATGCTTACTAATGCTGTATTGCTTTTGATGCTGCTCTTGCTGCTACTGTTGTTGTTGTTGCTGTTGCATTTGTGTTGCAAATGCAGGATGTGCGAAATACGAAACACGAGACTCTCTTGCGTTTAATTAAAATCACCGAACGCTACGAAAATTGAATGGGCGATTAAGAGGCTATGTCATCAATCTAAATATTGGCTTCCGAACTCCGTTCTCGATATAAATGCGAAGGGAACACAAACACACCACCATTTTGTTGGAAAAACAAACAAAAAAATCGACACAATGCAACTAGAAGTGGAACGACAAATCACACTCACACCAAACAATCAATTTAACTCGCTATTTACATTGCATGAATGCAAGTTTTTGTTTGTATTTAAACGGGGAAAATTAATTATTGATTCTCAAGTTGAATGGGTTTTCACTAACTTTAATAGGGATATCAAGAACAAAAAATGCACACTTCAAGTGAAATCAATGCTTCGTCATGGGAATTTCAATAATTTATGGTAATCTTTTGAGTAATATGAAGAATGTGTGCAATTTATTAACAACTCCAGCCATTTCTGTCGAACAAAAAGCCGTTTTTTTATTAGAAATTCAAGGCTAATTAAGGCAGAGAGGCATTTTCTGAAGCAACAAGCCAATGAAAATGTGAAGGTAGCTTCAAAAACAGGAAAACATTATCTTTGTTCGCCTCAGACTACACTTTAAAACTGCATTTAATCGAATTTCCCGAAGAAAATGTCGATATAAAAAAGTGATTGTGATGCAAAGTGAAGCACTTTTAAGCTATTTCCTTTTGAAGGGTGTTTTAGTTATTGCCATTTATTGTTGAGCATGAGAGATTAATGAAAACTATGAAAACATGCACAAAAAAAACATTGTTTGTCCCTTGTTCAGTGGCTCACGAGATGTGTATGTTGTCTCATAATGCGTCGAATCCCTGCGGCAAAACACCGAACCCAAATACTAAAGTTGAACCAACTGATAAAACATGAGCAAATTCATTTTTTGTTCCATGCAAAAAGGTGCTCTGTGTCTCATCACTGCAAGCGACATTGTCATTGACATGTAGCAAACATCTATATGGGATAAGAGATCCGAAATCCAGGCTTCAGTCCGCTGCTATGACAACCTATCAATTATACCGAATACATAAGCCGACAGTACATAGAATTCATCTTGAACACAGCGTTTGCATGGAGAATGGTGAAGCACGTGAATTGCTCATAATTATGCTCACAAAATATCCTGCCAAAAACACGCAACAAAACACCTTCGAGGAATTCTTTTTCACCACAAATTTGAACTGCCACCATGTTCATCCAGTTCGTTGGAATGAGAATTTCAAAATTTTGGACCAAGATGGGATTTACAGCGGATTTTTTAATCTAATTCCTTTTAAGAGAGATTTGATCGGAAAATGGTATCGAAGCAATATTTGGTTCAATTTTTTCAGGCTCAATATCGACTCTTGGAGAAATGAGCTCAACAGAGGCGAACATTGATATAGCTAACACAAAAATGATAACAACAACAACAACGACACTTAATACAAAAATGATAAAAAAATCTTAAATTAATTCGTGGAATATCGAAGAAAAACCCACGAATGATGTTCAATTTGAGATTTTTTTTTTTAAACCAAATTACACTATCAAGTATTCGAAAACAGTAATAATTCGTTGAAAAGTGATAGAAAAATCGAAAATTTATCAGAAAATTCATCAACAAGCTTCAGAGACAAGGCCAATTATTTGAATCTGAAAAAATTGTGGAAAAATAAAAAAAATCGATGGAAAAATGAAAATTGTCATCAAAAAAATTCGAAATGTGTTAATATCGTAAAGTTGAATCGTTTACAACATCTATTCAGGTTTGTCACTTCACATTTCGATCAAAATCATTAAAAGCGCATCAATTCAATCAATTTGGTGCATCGCTTCCTAAAAGACTATTTGTTCAATCGATAAAATTCAGACGTCCATGGACAAATTTAAAATGCCGACAACCCACTCACTCGTCATTATGTTTTGCACGCGGAAATATCTTATTTGACCTTCCAATTGTATTGCGCAGCATTTAAACAGCTGTTTTGCTGTTGGTGATCGTAAAAATAAAATCAAATTGCCGCATCAAAACAGATCACTGACAGATAAAAGCCGTCTCAATTTCACATATACGCGCCATACACACGGTCTTTGTATGAAATACATTCTCTTTTCATTGTTGTTCGTACTTCGTAGTCTTCAAAACAGGTAACCAAATTTGTTGTGCGTGTGTGTTCGTATAGAACTTGGACAAAACGAATAGACGAAAAAGGTGAAACAAACACAATCATAGTCCGTTGGTATAGATTCGAATAGAAATTTATTATGCAAATCACACACAACGAAAAAGGGCAAGAGTTTGATCTTTCATGTAAGATTCACACAAATTGAAGAGAATGTTGTAAAATTGTAAGATTTTATTCAGATGCAAAAACCAATAAAATTATTCACTCTTTCCAGTGCAAACGATTGAGTTCTAATTAATTTACGACATTTTGATAGTCATTTATTAAATACCGTGAAAACGGTTTGATTATAGTTTAATTATGCAAAATTACAGTCAAGGCGAATCAAATTACTCACCGGTAAACAATCAAAATTAGGATTAGATGCGATCTTACGCGAAGACAAAACAACTGTCTCAAGCTAGAGATGAAAACAAACTGAACAAAAAAAAAAAACGCGTAAAATTGTAACTCGAATGAATTGAAAACATGTTTGCCGGCACGAACGATTTGATTTGCCGAATCTCATTTGTGTGCGATCATCGGTTTGTATGTGTTGTTTGTTGACTGTATCTGCGGTGAATGTCGTCATAAGAATTAAAACGCCGCTTTCAATGTAGATTGGAATTCAGTCTCAACAAATCGCCAACTCGTTGAGCGATATTATGTGCGTGATCGAAATGTCAATTAGCCTTTGGACAATTGAAATTCGGTTCCAGTAATGGTTTGACGGTGATATTTCAATATATCACATTCGTGATTTACGAATTGTTAATAAGTCTGATTCTTTTCATAAAGGAACGGAAAAAAAAGTGAAAATGAAATTGAGTCCGTAAATTTCGAATTGGTTTTTATTTATGAAATCTTTGGTAAACAAGGTTTATTCATCGAATTCTGATTGAAGAGAGAAACATTTATGTTAAATGAATAATGGAATTGTTTTACATCAAACTGCAAAATATAGTTGATCAGGTGCAATTAAGCTATTTTGTAAGGAACATCTGAACATTTTCAAGTTAAAAATCCACGGAACCAACAATCTGACTTCAATGTGTGCTTTTCTCCTCTTGCCCATAGCGATCAAGCATTTCAACAATATCTGAATAGCCTATTTAAAGGAAAAGAAATCAGTTCATGAGTTCAATAAGAAATTAATACAGCATTCCATCAAAATAATTTTCTTTTCAAAAAGATATGCTTGGACTTCCAACAGATTCTCCCTTTCCCTTTGAAGATGATCGTAACTTGCCTTTCTTCGCAGCTAGCTGAAGTGCAGATTGACCGGACCTATTCTTAATGTTGATATCAGCATCGCTTTCAATTAATAATTTCACAATTTCCTCATGGCCTGTACAAATAATGTGGATTATATATCAAAATCTTTAATGATTTTGTTGTTTGTTCATGTCATTCTATACCATTTGCGACAGCTTTAAAAATTGCCGTCTCTCCCAATTCGTTGCGAATATTCAAGTGCGCACCGCTTTTGACGAGCAATTTCACTATATTCTCATGGCCTAGTTGAATAAATCAAAGTGATGAATCGATAGATTTTGACATTGAAAATGTTGAATTTTTTTTTCATTCTTGCTTCTCTTTTTCCATGTTCATTTCTTCTCTTTCAAAAAGATCTTGTGTATTCATTTTGATATTTTCTTTGTCTGCAATTTCTTTTTTTTTTGCTTTAAAAATCGAATTTTTACATACCATTTTGAGCGGCGATGGCTATTGCTGTATTCATATCCAATTCAGATCTGATATTCAAATCAGCTCCACTTTCCACAAGAATCTCAGCGATCTTTTCTTTTCCTTAAAATAAATCAAAGAGTTGTGAACTATGGTGGATCGATTCATAGTCTACAATGTAAATTGAAGGGGGCTGTATTAATCAATTTGTGGTAGATCTCACCATTCTTAGCAGCAACATACAGAGGTGTTCGACAACCCACTGGTTGAACGTTGACTTTGGCTCCATGTTTAGCTAAGATTTCCACAATTTTTGCATTTCCTAAACGGATTAATTGAATCGATTTTTAGTTGTTCTTCATCATTTGGCTTTTTTTTGAAATCGATTCAATTAAATTTGATATTGTTTGTACGATGCACCCTTTTTCTATTTGTTTACTAAATTCAATTTACCACGTATCGTTGCTTTATAAAGAGGCGTTTCGTTGAAAACATCAAAAGATTCAACATTTGCACCATTTTCGACCAAAATTTCTACGATTTCGTCATTATCTACGTGAGAAGGAGGAAAGGAGAAGAGAAGTTCCTAAGATTGACACACTATTGTGTTTGTTTGATTTGTTTCTACTTGCCATTTTTGACTGCAAGCGAAAGTGCTGTACCAAATAAAGCGTCTTTGGAATTGACATCTGCCCTATTTTTGATCAATAGTTCAACGACTTTTGCGTGGCCTTGATAAAATTGTCGATATTAGTGTTAGTATTAAATTGAAACTTTTAACTCAATGTTTAATATTTTCAAATGATTCATTTGACTCTTCTCTCAAAGCCATTGTCAGCCAATTTCATTTATGCTCAAAGAACAATGTTTATGAAGAGAATTCTGGAGATTAATCTCCATTCGAAGTGTTTCTTCGCTTACACTCAAAAAAATTAGCGGAAAAAATGTTCCGATTTTTCGAAATTCGGATGGATTTATCGGCATTTCTAGTATAAAGTAAATCTCATAAATCAGATGGATTATTCCGAATTGGAATAAAAGTTCCGCAAGAGAGTACAACTCTCAATGAATCACTCACCATTGATCGCTGCAATGATAAGAGGTGTTCTTCTTCGGAATTTAATTTCCGAATTGACGTCTGCTCCACTTCTAATCAATATTTCCATGACCTTTTCATATCCTGAATGAAAAGATTTGTGATCAATGTTAAAATTTCATTTTCTTTGTCTTATGCCCGTTGTAAGTGGTTCGGATTTAATTAAATCCAAAGATTTAATTTTCAACTTTGCGAAAACGGACAAAAAATGAAAGCTGATTGGGTAGGACGTAAAATTTGGGCGAAAACAAGAAAAACTGGCCTTTTGAGTACACCCGATAAGCCTTATGGGGCCTTGAAATCATGATTTTCCCGAATTTCGTTAAATCCTAAAGATTTAACTTTCAAGTGCGGGATTTAAGCATTTTTCACGCAAAATCATACAAATTTGGCCAGTTTTGCCAATTTTATGAAGAAAATAAGAAAATTTGTATGGAAGGTACCCGTAAATCGCTTTCGATTGGCTTCAAAATTTCAGGGATTGAGTTTTTTGGTAAAAAAATAAGATCGAGAAAGTTTCATGACGTTTGGAATATCATAAATGGGATTTCTATTGGGATTTTACTTTCATGGTTTCATAAAAAACTCATTTACCTATCTAAATCTTGTGCTGACCTGAAATCCCAATAAACAAGCCACAGATATGGCTTTCGGTGCTTGATTTGAAGCTGGCTAGAAGTTTTGAATGGGCAGACTGTCGAAAAACGAGATTTCCCAAAAAAATTCACCATTATGTGAAAGTGAAATACTGAGGGTTTCCGTAAACTGATATTCTTGCCTATTTGAACCCAAAAATGGTCAAAAGTGCTTGATTTTTATTACTGATTCAGATTTTTCGGACCATTTCCCACAACTTTTGCCTTATTTGACTCACTGTTTAACGTGAAAAATTCTTAAATCCCGCATTTGAAAATTAAATGTTGAGAATATACGAAAAATGATATTTTTGCATATTTGGACTCAAAAAACGTACAAAGTGGTTGGGTTTTTTGCTGATTTAGAATTTTTCGGTCATTTCCAACAATTCTTGACTTATTTGCAACATGATTTTGCGTGAAAAATGCTTAAATCCCGCACTTGAAAGTTAAATCTTTAGGATTTAACGAAATTCGGGAAAATCATGATTTCAAGGCCCCATAAGGCTTATCGGGTGCCAGTTTTTCTTATTTTCGCCCAAATTTTACGTCCTACCCAATCAGCTTTCATTTTTTGGCCGTTTTCGCAAAGTTGAAAATTAAATCTTTGGATTTAATTAAATCCGAACCACTTACAACGGGCATTATTTTACCTTTCGCCGCAGCTAACGAAAGTGCAGTTTCCCTGTCATTATCTTTGATATTAACATCAGCACCATTCTTGATTAGAACATCGACGACATGATTCAAACCTGAAACAATGGAATTTTTATTAGGAAATATGTGCATGAACGGTAAGTCACATAAAGTGCAGTAAAAACTACCTCGTTGAGCTGCAAAATGAAGCGACGTTTTACCATCATCATCTTGACGATTATCTTGAACGCCTTCTTCGATCAGTGACTCAACGAGCTCCACATCACCTGGATAAGCGAATGGATTATTTATCTAGGATTTAGTTGACAATTGAAAAAAAAAACAGTTTTGCTTAGTTCAAAGTTACTTGAAAAGACGTTTAACCGCGCAAATGTCTTAGTTTTGATTGATCATCATTGTAAGGTAATCAGGTTCATGAAACTTTTGAACTTCCAATTTTGCAACTTACCCATTTTAACTGCATCAAAAAGGGCTGATGATGAAGAACTACATCAAAGTTTATTTTTTTGACTTTCATTATTGTTCTATTATTATGTCATAATTTATTAAGACGAAAACATCTAAAACACTCACACATTTCCATCCAAAGGATTTGCGGTAGAATATATTTCTCCAGTGTTTGCACTCAAAACCGCACCAAAACCCAACACCAGTATAGTGAGATAATCCATTCTAAACCTAGTTCCAAAATGAATCGTTAACAAATGTACATAAAACGATAGAAGACACTTCTTTTTCTAACAATGCCGGTACTGAATAAAATACGTCGTTTCTGAATCTAAACCGAATTCCAACTGATTTGTGATTTCGTCGCGAAATTTTTGATACGTTGTAATCAACATAGGCATAAAATACTTAAATTGATTTGATTACTCACGCAGAAGTGTCTTCTGATTAATCAGAAAAAAATAAAGTTAAGAATAAGGCCACTGAGTTATCAAAATCGACGATAAAGCCCACAAATAGCGCAGTATCAACACAAAGCCAAAAAAAGGCATAGAAAGAATGCAAAAAATAAAAACAAACGATTTAATCTGGCTTTGGACTACCATCAACGCCAGTTTAAACGTTGTTTATTTCAAGTCTTACTCGAAATCGCTTTGAAATGACCAATTTCAAGTTAAAAAAAAACTGATTGGCGGCATCAAAATCTAGATAAAATAGAATCTAGGCGTTTTATTTTCATTGTAACACGACACAAAAAGTGATTCTTCGAAGCAATATTCGTCACGATCAGATTTGTCATAGGCAGATATAACGCAATTCAAAGATTTTGGAGTTAAAAAAATGAGTTTTGCAAACGAAAAATAATTTTTATCACATTTAAATGAACCGTTGCGACCAAAAATTCCCTCAAAGAATTGTTTGTGTGTGCAACATTTATTGCGCGTAAATTTTCAAGAGGAATGAAGCGAGCGACTCTGTCGTTCCTAACACAACAGCTTGTAATACGAGAAAAAATTGTACATAATGAGTGTGAGCGAAACAGCATAAGTTTTTGGCTCTCGATTGTCTTCCATATAGGCAATTGAATATAATATTATTAAATATTTACGCATGGAAATATCTCGGAAACAGCTGGCTAAATCGGCAAAATGGACCGTGATGTCACTCCCGAGGAGTGTAAACACCCGGCTGGTTTGATAGCCTAGAATACAAATCCGGTGATATTTCAGCTAATCCATGGATTCTCAGTATTTGACCAGGTTCCAGTGCTTCCTTTTTTATGTGCATCTGTAAAGTCATTCTGCCTATGTTTTGTATGGAATTTTACCACAACACAAAAAAATTGAAGTGGTAGACTCAGGTCAAATCCTGAGAATCCATGGATCAGCTGAAATTCCACCACATTTGTATTCTAGGCCATCAAACCAGCTGGGTGTTAACACTCCCTTTGGGAGTGACAACACGGTCCATTTTGCCGATTTACCCAGCCGTTTTCGAGACATTTCCATGTGTACATTTGGCCATAGAAGCCAATGCAATAGCAGCGGCGCTCCGAGGTTTTCATACAAACTTCCCATGTAGACCAACACAGGCAAAAATCGAAAAAAAAGTTTAAATTTTTTTTTCGATTCTCATACAGTATTCAATGTACCCAATCCATTGGTGCTATCGGCACATCGAAATTCGCACTCGTTCTCAACTTATAAGTTGATATGATAATTATCATAATTTTGAAACAGACTGCATCATGCCCGAAATTAGATTCAAATAGAAACAACAACAAAGTGCCACAAAGCAAGTTTCGGATTTGGAATGATTTTTTATGTTGCGCTCACATTTGCTTTGTGTCGCTTTGGTTCAAAAACTTACCTTTGTTCGTAGTCAAATGCCATGCTTCGATTCAATTCTCAAATATTCTGAGGGAATTTTTTCGTCGCAACGGTTCAAATGTGATCTATTTCTATTTCGCAGAAGTTCCACAGTTAAACATATTTCAAATATGATGTTACCATTTTTCCAAGTTTTTTTGTTGAAATTTTGAAGAATGAAAACCAAATGAACGAAACGGAAAATTCGTGTTGAATTTCCAACGATTTACTGATCATAAATTGAGGAATCAAAAATTGTGAATCGTCGACTTCAAATAACTGCCGCTGTGAAAAAGGCGAAAAAATCCGGATGCAATGCAATTAAATGAATGTGCCTGCAACCGCAATATAGATCTAAAGCGGCGGTTTTCCATTGCATAATGGCAAATTGAACTAGTAATCTTCATCAAAGTCACAGGAAAACCGTTTATTTGCTGATGCCGATTGAAGTTGTAGTGACTATAGTTGAAAACAGATATTTTCTGCACACAAGAAAAAAAATGTCGTGCATGAAAAAAATTGCCTGAAACATTTGATTTCTCTGTAAATGCCATGCTTCAATCCTCGGATGAAATGCGAGTGTATTACGATTTAATTAAAAAAATCATTATGTCTCATTGAGAATTGCAAAGTATTCTCTAAAAACCTAATAATCGTCACAATACCCAGGCCGTTGTCGCATATATTCGCTTGAGGATCATACGTACTTTATTTCTGTGTCTTAAAACATACTTTTCAGCGAAAAAAAGAACACGAATGCGAAAAGATGTGTTTATTCAGATGTGCAAAAGTTGTCTTCTGTTGTGTTGGGGAAGCTTTGCCGGGTCGGACGTTAGCTACTTGTGTTGTTGTGCAGAGCAAGGAAAACATGGAAAAAATAAGCAAAATGCGAGTTATTTATTTACGCGGTCGATATTTTTTTCCATGCAGGCAGTCGTCGGTTGGTGTTTGGCGCGGTACCGAAATGTGGATAAAAACGGATCCACTTTATGCGAGAAGACAGCGTTTTAATTTCCAGCATCTCTCTGTGTGTTGACTATGTGTGTATATGTGTGATGACACATCCACCGTTTAAAACGCGCACACAAGAGTTGACAAACACGAGAATTGCACAAGACGATGTACGCAGAGAGAGAGAGAGAGAGAGAGAGAGAGAGAGGCGAATGCAGCAGAGAAAAAAAATATTGTGTATATGAAGAGAGAGAAGCCTCGAGCCTCGACGATACTTTGTGTAAATATTAAGTCCCTCCCATGGAAGTTGTGCGATTAAAAGCAGGCAAGCGTCGCTGCCAGATGTTTTTCCACTCGGTATGTATGTATGTGTGTGTGTGTGTGTGTATGTGTTTACGTGTGATCTCCCAAAGCTGACATATTTTCTAAGGGTGATTACATTTTTTAGCATTCTTTTTTTGTCGCTTGTCCTTCTTTTGCCACCGTTCATACGGCGTGTGTGTGTGTGTGTTTTTCTGTCGCAGCTGCGAATGTGGTGTTGTTGTTGCCGTCTCTTTGCGACGATGTTGAGGGTTGGATGGCTGCTTTTGTACACATACCTTTTAATCATGGGTGTTTGTGCATTGCCTTGGTTGTTGGTTCGTTGCCGTTGATACACACACAAACACATACACACGGTTGCTCATTCGTGAATTGCGACAACGGCGACGACGACGACAACGACAAAAACCCCACACAGAGACACACAAAAGCGGTGAAAATCTCAAATAATGTCGCATATCCTACGGATTTGATGACACTCAACTCGATGTGAATAAGTAAATAAGGCCGTCGCTTTTTCCCACTCTCCATCTTTCTTTTTTTCGCTTCTTTTGCTGCTATTTGTTTCACTTCGTTTCGCGTTGCCGTTACGCACTCCAAAGAGATGCCATTGATAGAAAGTTTTTAATATCCGATGAACGCCGCGCCGCGCGGGCAAAAAGAAAATAATTAAAACACAAAAAAAATTGTTTCGCTGCTGCTGCTACTGCTGAATGAAATAAAACTGAAGCGTAAAAAAAATTTGCCAACGACATCGAGAACTAAGCAAATATATATTTCCAACCGCAATATTTCCTTTCGACAAAAGATTTTTCCCGTAATTTATGTCAACGATTTTTCATTTTCAATGTATTTTTTTTCTCTTTCGCTTCGTTGTTGTGTCGTTTGCATTCAGCAAAACTGTTTTCTAGTTGAACAACAACAAAAACTCTCTCTTCGACGACACAAAACAAAAGAATTTGAAGTCGTCTCAAGCAGCCACTGAAATGAATTACAACCGTTTTTCTTGCTGATATTGCGCAACAATGCGGACTCTTCTATTCTCTTTTTTCCACTCTCTCTCTCTCTCTATCTACCTCTATCTCTCTCTCGTTCAAAAAATACGCGCGCACTTTTCAATTAGTCGCCCAGATCTATTTTCACTTCGCTGAACAGCCAATTTCATATTCTTCTTCGGTTGCGCCATTGTACCACCGCGAACACAAAAAGCAATCGGCACAACTCGAATACACAAAGTCAGGTAATGATTCGCGCACGACCACAATTCAAATGCTTTTCTTTCCGATTCCACCATGGAAAACAACTCTTTGTTCCAAAACAATATTTTGTTTTTTTGTCTGTTCAGTGGTTTTCGGTGGGGCACGCTTTGTTTTGTTTGCTAAGCACTTGACAATTTTAATTAGTACCCACTCAAAGTTGGAGAATCGAAAGATTTTTCGCACTCAACTAGGAAAAAAATGATGAGGAAAAAATACTTTTTAGTGACTCTTAGCACTGCACACATCCAATGGGTGAAATTGGAAAATGCGTAAATTATTCATTTATGATTTCAATGGAAAAATGTTTGCGAGACATTTCCGAGAAATTGACGAGTTTCCCTTGGTTTCTGCTTAGAAAAATACTAATTAGAAAGTTGAAGGTGAATTTTCATCTCAATTCATGTACACTCTCACAATTCGAAGTAGGCAAACCGTCAGAAGTAGTACGGTCATCGGAAAAAGCCATCATTTCACATTCTCGCCATCGAAAAAGAATGAACACATTAAGGATAAAAAAAAATATTTCCATCATGGAATTCGAACCTTTGCCCACTCATTTGCCAAGCGCATTCGCTACCAATTTAGCTGTCTGTGATTTATTTCAACTGGCATTGTTGTGCCCTTTGGATGTGACAATTCCTTGCACATACTTCGTTTGGTTGCGTTCATTGTGTGTGATCACGTTGGTGTGCGGAAACACAATTGTGCATGAAACATTCAGTGTGATGACAACCGATTGTCAAAAAATGAAAACAAAATCAGAAATCGTTGCAAATCGTATCGTGTAATAGCCGAAGAAGGCTAAACAACAAATTCAATTAGCCTTTATTCGTGTTGCAAAGATGATTCGAGATGATTGTTGTTAAGAATTCAATGTTTTATGCCATTTGGAATTTAGATTCAATTCACTGTTCACTGCTGCAACACACTTGATGAAAATTTGAAGAAAAAAAAAACAATC